CTTAATTTGACGAGTTCATATTAAAAGTAATGGTGTTCAATAATGAATGTATTTGTCTATTTTATATTTTAAATAAAGAAATGCCTCATCAGTCAAACATGAGCTTAGTGGTTGTTATCATGTGAAATGGGCAACATCATTTACATTTATTCTGCTTTGTTTTAACATTTAACAATATCGAAGAAGAGTGTGAGAACGAAAGAAAAAAAGGGCAAATTTTAAGTTCAATAGGATGTTGGAGTAAACTAACAAGTTATTCGGAAGGAAAATATTACTTTTTGCAATTTTTGTTAGTATTATAGTATAATGATATTGTTAATTTCAAGTAAAATTGATTTTTCTTCTGTTCTTGAGCGTGATAAGAAATCAAAATTCTGTCATTAAAATAATAAAAAAATAATATTTATTTATTTTTAATAATTTTAATTTGAAATTTTAACTTTTTAAATGCAAAATTTTAAATAAAAATGATAATTTATATGAAAAATAATTGAATTTTTTTTTATATTTAGTTCTTGTTAAATATTTTTATTCAATAAAAAATTCTAATTATTATCTATATAATATGTTAAATTTTTATTTAGTATTTATATTTAAAAAATAAAGAAATTAAATTAAAATTACTAAAAATGAATAGAGAGTAATGTTTTGATTTTTTAGTTGCTTTTGAAAAAAGGGAAAAGTAGTGTTAACTTGAAGTATTTTAAAAAGATTTTATGTGATTTCTGAGAGAGGTCCCATATTTGTTGGGAAGTCCTTTTTTATTAAGATTATTTTTATGTTTTTATTATTGAAGATTATTTTTTGATGATGAGAAATACCATGATAATAGAGATTGAATATAAAAAATTTGAAGATTATAATTGAATAAGAATTGGTTGATTATTGTTCTTTATAGTGTTTGTTTATTAATATCACTTTAATTTTTTATTTTTTATTAATATTCTTTTACTTAATATACGTTCTTTGTTGTTCAATTTATAGTGTTTACATTACGTTAACAACCACGTAAATTTGAAGGCAAACCCAAAAACCCAAAAAACCAAAAAAAAAAAAAAACCATGTAAATTGATTACTTAAGAGTTCAAAGTAACAAATGAATCTTACAATAATTTTTTTTCAAAATTTTTTACCACATAGACTTTTCAATAGATAAAAAAA